CTATCTAGAATATATAAAGAACTGAAAAAAGTCAGACCCCCAAATTTAAAGACCCAATTCAAAAATGAGCATGTGAAATGAACAGATATTTCTCAGACAAAGAAGTAAAAGCAGAAAATAAACATATAAGAAATGTTCAACATCATTGGTCATTTGAGAGATGCAGATGAAAACAACATGTAGATTCTGCCTAACCCCAGAAAGAATGGCTGCTGTCAAGAAATCAACCAATAACAAATGTTGGTGGGCTTTTGGGGAGAACAGAACCCTTCTCCATTGTTGGTGGGAGTGCAAAGTGGTGCAACCACTGTGGAAATCAGTATGGTGATAGCTCAAACAACTAGGATTAGAAGTCCCATTTGACCAAGCTATTCCTCTTCTGGGTATTCTCCCAAAAGAATTAAAAGAATCATACCACAGTGATATATGCACACCCATTTTTATAGCTGCACAGTTTGTAGTAAGGAAAGATTGGAAACAGCCCAGTTGCTCATCAACTAGAGAATGGATAAAGCAAATGTGTTTTTTTTTTATATATAAATGGAGTGCCACTCAGCCATAAAAAATGAGAAATTAGAGACATTTATAGCTAAATGGATGCACATTGAGGCCATACTCTCAAGTGAAATAAATAGGACACACGTGAAAATACCGAATAGTTTCTGTGGTGTGAGAAACTGAAAGTGTAAATAAGGACTAAAATAAATAATTGATAATGTGAAATAGGAAGAAAAGGGGCAAAGGGGTAGGGGAAGTGGGAGGGGCAGGGGAAAGGAAAGAAGGGAAAGGAAAAACGATGAGATGAGAAATAAATGGCAACGAAGCCTTTGCAAATGGGGGGTGGTGTGAAGGGAGGGCAGGGGAAGGGGAAAAAATAAGAACCAAGATGGATCATGCACAGGTACAAGATCCCAATGATGAATGTGATTGCATTGTACACCTAAAATGTGCCAATAAAAGAATTTAAGAGAAAAAACTTCACTTGTGTATAAAAGTAAAAAAGAGAAGAAAGTAACGAGAAGGATGGTATAATACATAAATATTCTTTGAAAAAAATTAAATTCCAAAGGACATAAATAAAAGCATGGAACCATTATTTGTTCATAGATTTCCAAAAGTATATTAAATATGTAATATGTTCACATCAAAACATTCTTGGTAACAATTTTTTTTGTTATTTTAATTATGATTTTGAAAAGTTTATGTGGTTTTAGAGTAAAACCATATGGTTTTTACTATTCATTTGATTTCAGTGTTGTTTTATTTAGTTTGCTACAAACTATAACACTATTACCATAAATTTCTTCAGAACAACACTGGCTTATGCAAAGCAAATTCAGTGTGTTCGGAGCACATTAGAATCAATCAGTACTGCATTCATTTGGCCCCCAAATCTCTCTGTTAATGGCATAAAAAATGGAATGATCAGAAAATTCTAAGCATATTCTCCATCTTTTTATGCAAAATTTTGCAGAGATAGAGGAAGAATTAGATCATTTTTCTTTGTTAAGTCTCATGTTTAATGCATATAAGAAAAAGGCCTCTATAAATATATGAAATAAATATATGTTTAAAATTGTCTGATGAACACCTACTTTCAATCCTATCCACAAGTCTATGAGACTGCATCACCACCACGAGTGGTACAATCAAATAATAAAAGTGAGTCTTTTCAAGAAAAGGGAACTTGGTCCTGTGGCCACTCATTGCTCTGTGTCCACACATTAAAAGCTTGTCCCTTCATGACTTGGGGACCGACCCCAGAGGAAGGATGCTAAAATAAAACAACTCTGTTCCCACTGTGAGTCTCACTATAAAATGCCAGACCTCCAAAAAAGCTAACTTTCTTCCCAATTATCAGCAAGGTTTTTCAGTACTTTTTATCTTTTTTTGGAGAAAATCTAGCTAGATAATCTAACTAGCATAACTAAGTGGACTCAACAAGAATGACCTTGACATTGACACTGTGGAGGGAAGCTAGCAAAACAGAGGCACCTGTAGAGAGAAGGAGCTGAAGTTACCCACTGCCTTTCTGAAGTCATTTTACTTCAACAGCAATGTCACTTTATGTCATCAAGCATGCAAAAGAGTTTGCTCCTGCAGAGACCCACTGCTTTTTCAGAATGGAAAGGGACATTTTTAAATGACTTTTATTTAATTAGACTTTTATTTAATTTTTTGTTTTTCTTATAATTCATAAACTATCCTAATACTGCAATAGCAAATATCTAGAAAGGTTATTTACTGAAATTAAAATTTAATACTACAATTTTAAGATCATGTGGCTATCTCAGGATAGATATGCTCTCTATAGATTTCATGTATGAAACGGATAGGAAATCTATTCAACATAGTTTTTAGCTCAGTGGTGCCGCTGCCTGCCTTGCAAGTGCAAGGTCCCGAGTTCGATCCCCGATACGAAAAAAAAAAAACTAAAAGATACGTGTATGTGTACTAGGTAGACGATGGTGTTCACAGATATATTTCCTCATTTATTGGATTGTCAGAGTTTGATGAGATAAACAAGATTGCCACATATCTATTAATATATAAACTAATTTATACCATATTCAGAGAAAGTTAAAAAAATAAAGCAGAAGAGTAATTTAAAATGACCCCATTATCAATTTCATTTCATTAACATATTTGACAAAATATAGTTAATTTTTAATACCTTAAAGTCCACTCTTTATTGTACAGAAATTTCAGTGGACTAAAACATATTTTCTCTACACAATGATAAACACTAGGATTAAAATGTCAAATGGTGAGAAAATTATTCATTCAGAAATTTTAAAAATAACTAAAATCCACAAGAATTAAAGTAAATTAGTTGATGAATGGCACCTAAAGCACAAGGTAACTCAATAAATGTTAACTATTTTTAATAATATTACTGAGTTTAATAAAGTTATTAAATTAGCATTATAGAAATGTCCTCATTAATTTAAAGTCAACTCACGTAACCTTGAAACCTCATTCAATTTAGTTCAACAATAAATTGTTGGACTTGAGGATGTAATTACAGTAGAAATACTACAGATGAGAAGACTTAGAAAGTTTTAGCAAAAGCCTAAATTAAAAATGATGAGAAGAGAAACTGTGGAGAAGCATGTCCTGCAAAAGAAGACACGTGGAAAAAACGTTATCTTTGAGCCAGGCATTGTGGTGCACACCTGTACTCCCTGTACAATTGGAGGCTGAGGCAGGCTGCTCACAAGTTCAAGTGCAGCAACTTAGTGAGACTCTCAAAACTGGAAAGGGTAGGAACCCCTGGATTTAATCTGTAGTGGAGGAAAAAAATGCAAAGAAAAACGTGAAAAAGATGCAATCTTTGGGCGGAAAACTAGGGAGACAAAGTAGTTGAGGTAAAGGAGAGAGAGGAGGAGAAACCAGCCAGCAGGGGCTCCTCAGGCTTCCTGCTGACTTGGATTGTGATGATATTCAAAGGGTATCGGGTCTTGAAGGGAAAGACAGGTGTGAAGAACTCCTGACCAAACAATATGAAATGTCCAGCAGACAATTAGATAGTCAACTCAGAATTTCAGAAGAAATAACATTGCTTAGGGTTAGATTTTTTTTTAATTAAGATCATTTTGGACATTATTTGCACTCTGAGTTTTTCATTTAATAAATTGTTTCATCTTTGTATTTTTCACCTTGCCCACATATGAGTTAAAGGCCTCACTGGTAAGAATTCTACCATGTGGACATTCCACAAACTGCTTCTTCATAACTATTTTTCTATCAGAAACATAAATTCTATGCTGATAAGGGCTCTGGAGAGCTGCTAGTTCTATCTTTTTAAGATATGAGGAGATTAGTTCCAGTTATAAGCAAGGAAATTATCTAAAGTATCTAAGAGCAATAAGGTCTGACTTAAACTCACTACCCCACACTTTAAATGTTCAATATAAATGTCATACGTTCCAAGATCAAGCCATTTTCACAGCAAGCAAAGGGTCTGTATTTCGCAGCAGCATTTAGCAGCATGTCAGTTTAGAATAGAGGTGTTAAAGTAAATTGTTCTTTGACAATTTTTTTGTATAAAGTAAAATGTGCAGCATTCAGGTTCCAAATTTTACCTAGAGAAAGACAAAGAAGTGTGCTGATGCAGATAGCATTTGCTAATATAAATTGCACTGATGGCATGCTAAGAAAAAAGTCCCCAGTAAATATCATATCAGCTTTACAGATTATTTAAATGTATTAAAACTACTTATAAATACATATTAAATATAAGGGAAAAATAAGCTTCCTGAAGTATGGAAACTTTTTCTTTTCTATAAAATCTTTTGCTATAAATATCAGCCAATAAGAGGTCAGGGATTTAGCTCAGTGGTTCCACCACCTGCCTTGCAAGAGCAAGGTCCTGAGTTCGTTCGATACCTGGTACCAAAATAAAAAAATAAATAAATATCAGCCAATAAAATGCCTATTTTATAGATAATGCCTAGATTTGTCTAGATCATTAGCATGCAGTTTTATTATTTTGGGTTGTTGTTATGGTTATATTTTTCACTGTGGAATAGAAACTCAAAATACATGATCCTCTCTGCATCATTTATTACTCAGCATAATTCCAATACTGCATAACTCTTAAGTGTGGGGCAGCAAGAGTGGAAAATCCTCTACAATGTATGGACTTTGCCTTTTACTTCTTATGATCTGGTGAACGAAAGGGTCTAAATCATAAGATGTCCTCTGAATGTTATTTTATATTGCCATATATTGCTTTCTTCTACTGATTTGGGTTGTTCAAACAGAAACATGCTCTTTGTTTTAAAGCTTAATTATATTTAAGCTTAAATCTATGTCCTTACGTCTTCCTTTTATAAAAATACTTCTAGTATCATGAAATGAATTTGAAAGGAGATACATATATAAGTTTTTCTTATGTTGATATATATATACATATATATATATAATATATATCTTCAGAACAAAAAATAAAGAAAAAAACTCTTGGTTGAATAACTTCTATTTTGCTGTTTTCATACCTCTATAGCTTGATTTTCTGTTTTCTATGAAGAATATTGATGAGTGTTAAATATCACTATTTGAAATCTGATAGTCTGATAAATAAAATGAATAACATATCTTTTTCCTTCTCTTCTCCTACTCCTTCTTGTCCTTCTTGTTTTTGGTGCTGAGGATGGTATCCAGGTTCTCACTCATGTTGGGCAAGGGGTCTCCCACCAGCTACACCCCTGGCCTGAATATGTATTCAGAGAGAATATAATTAATTAATTAAATTTCTATCAGCAAAAATGTAGTTCTTGTTTTAGACATTCTGAAATAGATTTTCTCCATAATTACAGTGTTTGTGCATCGCAACACAAGAGAAAGGCAGATACAGAAAGACAGAATGCTTGTTTATTTGCTTAATGGCAAATACTTCTAGTACCTTTAAACACAATGCTGTTACTTTAAATTCTATAACCTTTTTTTCCAAAATACCTCATGAGTATTTTTCTGTAAGTCTCATAAATAGTTGAAGAGCAGAAAGAGAGCTCCATAAATTTATAAAAAGCATACTACCAAAGATTTTAAATTAGGAAAAACACAAACTCATAAAGAAGAACAGAGTAAAACTAAGATTCTGAAACATTCAGAAGTTCTATATGACAAAGACTTTCTGACTCTTATTAGAATAAATATTTGCTGGAAGCAGATCATTGCAATTTTAAGTATAATACTTTAAAGACAATACATTTTCCCATACAGAATAATAAATGCCTGAAGATTGCTGTATCAATAATGACATATACTTTATTCATAACCTGATAAATGGGCAACTCAGAAGCTTTATATCTCAGAAAAATTGGTAAACAGTAGAATATGGAAGTACTCATAGAACAGGAAAATAGAGATCCCTTTTAAGGATACGATTTTATAAATAATCTAAAATCAGGGCCAAATTTATAATAGTTATCTCACGTCTCTTATAATGACTCTTATAATGTCTTTTATAATGTGAACTTGGAAAACTAAAAAGAAAACGGATGAATCTGCAAAACCATATTTATAATATCTACCCATATCTAGGAAAACTGAAAGATGGGCAAAGCCCAAAACAGCATTGCAGATGCTTGTAGTTGAGCTCATTTATTTTAACGACTAGTTGTCAATACAGCAAAACTCCTAAACTCTGCAAAAAGAAAGCAACTCGGTGTCCTCTCCTGCAGGCACTCATGCCGTGCTTTTCTCCAGTGCTGCCCTCTTAGGGAGATCATGTCAGGTGATCCTCATCACAGCTTGTCTGTATCTATAACCAGCGCTGATTCTGAGTCTACTGAAATCAGCCCACAGATGGACTCTCGCTGCCAGTATGAACTGAGTCACTCAGGAAAAAACAATAATTTTTATAAGACTATGGCATACAATTAGCACTACAGAATCAACTAGCAAAAGGTTGTATCAACCAGATTTCTGATAAAATGTAAAAAATACTGTCAAATGTTTTGGCCAATTATAAATGCTTCTGAATATTGAGGTATTTGTTATCATGGGGGCAAAGCTTTCTTCATGATTTGATTAATTTTTATTTTAATCTAGGATAAACTAGGCCATACTAACTAATAAGTGTTGAATTTCATATTAAGCTTCAATCCCCAACTTTACATTTTGGCATTGAATTATGTCTCATATCTTATAGTTTTCAATTTCTAAGAAAATATGACATACATTAGTGTTCCCTTTGGGCATTGTTATTTTTTGTTTCATATTCATTACACAGTTTATATTTAAAAATAATAAAATAGCACTGAGGTACTATTAGCACATGTGACTACAAAAATGTATAAGGGAATATGAGTAATGAGATGTATCAGAATTAGAAACTGTTCAAAGACATTTATTTGGATGTTGCGAAAGAAGCTATAAATACCTACCAGTGACTGTAAGAAACATATTGGCCACAACAAGACCAAATGAATTCTGAGCCACACGTTCATATCTTCCTTGGTCAGCTTGCCCTGCATCATAAATGGTTAGCATGCCTCCACTGTCAGTGTGGAATTTACCACTCTTGGTGATCTGGACACCTGCCTACAGTATAAAAAGGAGTTGTCACTGGAAGAGAGTGGGATTCCTTAAAAAAAAATATTTACACTCTGCTTTATTTACCTTCACTCATTCAATAAATATCTACTGAGCACCTGCCATGAATACAATGGAAAGAAGAAAAGAAAAGATGTTCCAGGAAGTGTGATTTGTCTTTCTCTCTAATTAAAATAAATATGATACCCAGAAGTTCAGTCACCTAGTTATTTAATATGATTATTTTTTAAATCACCACACCAATGGATGGATATATTCAATTTACCCATATCCTGAGTAACAAATCTGGCAACAGAAATAAAAACAAAATTTTAAATGCTCACAAATTCACTACCTAAAAACATCAAAATATTTTCTTATTTCTGATTTTCTTCTCTTTGTGGTAATAATCACATGTTTTGTGTAGCTTCAGTAATATATATTAACCAGGTTTCCTACTAAAAATACTCTTTAAGATAAAAATAACTACATATGAACTACTGTAAGATATATTTGCTTATTATTAGAACAGATTTATGTACGTTGTCATTGTTACGGTGTTAATTTTAAAAGGAAAAGAAACGACCGTTAGAGACTCCATTTGGAGCAGTGTACAGATAAAGCTGCCATATTCTGTCCCTCTCCAAAAGTCTTGCAGGGAATTTAGCATGGGAGAGATTTTTTTCAAAAGAATTCACACTCCAGTGACAGCCAGTAGGCTATAGGGTTGCCATAATGGTTACAGTGGTAAGAAGGTTCCATAGATCTTCAGACTGTCACAGCTGCCTTTGGCCAGGACTAGGAAGAAGTCCAAGTTCATGGACAGTTGTCCTCAAGGTAGGACGTGCTAGGAAGTAGCAGGGACCTAGCTGATAGATGGGTACCCTAAAAGACACCAGGCATGAGGCTCCAATGTGAAGACCAGGACAAGTAGGCCCAATGGGTATTTCCCTCAGTACCAGCACCAGCACCACCACCCCTTCCTCTTGGTGAACCACCACTGCCTCTTATGTCCAGAGTTGCTCCTTTTCCTTCCTTTCTCCTCGCTTACTGACAGAACCCATGGGGTAACTATAGCTACCTGTTGTGTGCTTAGAATTTAAATAATCAGATAGCTTTCCAATAAATCTTTTATCTGCTTATATTAGGTAGTTTCTGTTGCTTGGGGAAGAGGTATCCTAACTCTCTCCCTTTCCAAACATTAGAATTAAAGAAGATTGTTGTGGAGATAAAATGGGATAACATATAAAAAACATCCAGAGTATTGTCAGAACCCAATCAGTTTGTGATTAGAAGTCACCTGTTATGAAAACCACCCTGAGATATTGTGCTCATAGTGGATAATGAAACATTTGGTAGAGTATTAAATAAGGCTTTAGATATAGAAAATTGGAGTTCTCACACTTCCTATTTAGCATAAAATATTTGAATATATGGTATTAAATCGAAAAAGGGTTTATAAGCCAAGTACGGAGATGTGTGCTGATAGCCCCAGCTACTCAAGAGGCTGAAGTAGGAGGGAACACTTGAGCCCAGGAGTTAGTTCAAGGGCAGGCTGGGCAGCATAGTAAGACTCTTGTCTCAGAAAAAGTCTGTGAAAAATGTTCAGACAATATGAGAGGACAGAAAGTGAAAGACAAGTTGGAGACCACTGAACTTCTTCTTTACAGAGAACCACATGTAGTGTTCAGCTGTACTACAAAAGACATAAGACTCCACAGGTACAAAGCCTTGTTGCTATATGGTAACAGCAAAAAATAAGCCACTGCTTTTAGAAAACTCAAAAAGCTCTGTGACCTTTTACAAAATTTACATTTTATCACATTTTCTATAAATAAATCCTGTCTTTCAAGGGTGTGTAAGTTCATTGATTTTTTAAGAATCCTGGAATCTGAGACCAATCATTTCATTTTGGTGAAAAGCTTAAAATGGAAGAAGCAATTGTGTTGAAAGAATATGCCTCAAAGAATCAAAAGAAGTGAAATATCTAAATAAAGAGCTATTATTTCTTTAAAGCCATTCAAGTTTTGAACCTTTAGAAGTACTTTTTCACATCCCTTTAACTCCCAGCTTTTCATTCCTTTCTTATTTCAGCTAATGACCTACTTTTAATCCATCTTTGAGTTATTAATTTATAATAGTTTCTCACTAGCCACTAAAATTCTTAGTTTATATATGACAAAGGCAGTTTTTCCTTAGATGGATTCAGTTATGCTTATGAAATTCTTATTATCAAGCAAATGAGGTAGGATAAACTGTATCAAATCCCTGAGCCAAAATCAGATACAGTCATCTAAAACAAAATTTAAAAAGCAAGATGAAGTACTAGGAAATAAACCTACTGCGGCGTAAAAAGTATTACTTGCTAGCAAAAATCACAACAGCAATAAATCAATATGAAAATCATTATCTCGGTTTCAGTGGGTCAGTATATCTGGTGATGTTTTGAATATTACTGTAGTCTTAGTTGAGTGCTTACCTTCTTCCATGTGGTTATGGGCTGTGGCTCCCCTCGAGCATGACAGGAGAAGTTTACATGCTTTCCAGCAGCCACAGTGCGGTGCTGTCCTGTGGAAGCTGACTGAACACTGGCAGAGCTGTGGACATGAACCAAAATGACATCATGTCAGTCTCATTGTTCTGTCACTATCTGCCAGCCCCAGTATGAATCTGAACGCTGTATGGTTAGCCGTACTAGTTCTAAAAAGCGGGTTACTTGAATATCTGGAAAAATAACAAAAACTCCAAGCCTACGCAGGTGATCATTAGGGCAAAGGTGAGAGTAGAAATAAAGCAAGAGAAATACACACATGCTTTAGCCATACTTGTATATTTTATTTCTGCAGCTGAGTATTAGGTACAAGGATTTTCATTACTCTTTCTCAGTATCTTTTGGTAAATCTGAAATGAATCTACACGGTAACATCAACATTTACTTCTGGGTGTGACTGGAATATTGCATTTTAAGTGAGAACCCTAATCCTCAAAAAATACAGACTACCACAACTCACCTAATATGAAATAATAACTAGAGTACCTCTATAACAATGAAGGAAATTGGGTTTATTACCTTTAAACTCCTCCCCTCTGAAAAAGACATCTCCAGGGAAGAACTAAAATCATTTTCCTGTAGAATTACACTCAAAGTTTTTCAAAATATGTCAAATCTATACAATCCCTTCCATAAAACAATAGTGAAATAGGAAATACTCCCTGACTTGTTTCAGGAGCCAGATCCTAACTCAAAACCAGATGAAGCAAATACCAAAAAGAAAGGAAAAGAACTACTGACCAGTATTTCTCCTGAACAGTTGCAAAAAATTCATCCACAAGGGACTATTAAATAGAATTCAGTATTAAATGACCCACAAGGTTCATTCCTAGTATGCAAAGCTGGTTCAATATTTGAAAATCAGTCAGTATAATTTGCCAATTTAACAGGTAAGGAAGAAAAATCACATAATAGTCAATGAATAAAATATGATTGACTATTCACCACTCACTTATGATTACAAAAAAGAAAACTCTTGAAAGTTAAAGAAGTAAAAAAGAATATGATGATATTCAATATATTCAATATATATTCAACTCTTCACAATAAATGTACAACTCTTTTTAATTAATTTTATTGGTACATTTAAGACATACAATATAATGACATTCATCATTGGAAATTTGCCCCTTTACATGATCCATCTTGGTTCTTATTTTTTCCCCATTCCCCTGCCCTCCCTTCAACCCATCTACCCCTCCCTATCTACAAAGACTTTGTTTCCATTTTTTCATTTTCTCATATTAATTCCATTCCGCTCTTTCTCTTCCCCTACCCCACCCACTTCCCCTTCCCCTTTGCACCTTTTCTTCCTATTTCACATTATCTATTATACCTTTTAGTCCTTATTTACACTTTAAGTTTCTCACACTAGAGAAACTGTTCAGTATTTACATGTGTGTCCTATTTCTTTCACTTAAGAGTAAGGCCTCAGTGTGCATCCATTTAGTTATAAATGTCTCTAATTTCTCGTTCTTCATGGCTGACTCTTCACAATAAATGTATTTAATATGTACCATAAATGTGTACTTATGAAAGAACCATAAAAATAAAAAAATTAAAAAAGAGAAGTTTTAGTAAAACTCTCAGAAAATGGAAACGGAGAACCTGTACAGCTTGAAAACATATGTAAAAAAACCTATAGAAATCAAGTAGATGTTTACACACAGATAGGAACTAAGGCATAAATGTGTGCTTTCTACACTCTGACTCACCATAGTGCTTCTCAAGTCCTGTCACTGTAATATGGTAAGGAAAGGACATAGAACTCAAATGGGTTGGACAAGAAGAAATGAAACTGTCCCTACTTGTAGGTAACAGTATTGTTCATTTAGAAAATGCTAAGAAATCTTCAAAGTACTTCAAAGTGAGTTCAGCAAGATAATACAAGAGAAACAAAATAAATTGTACTTGTATATTCTGTCAACAAACACATAAACACAGAAATTTTGCAAACATAATTTTCAATTGCTCAAAAATATAGGACACCAAGGTATAAATCTAAGGTAAAAGCACAGAACTTACTTGCTCATGACTACAAAATGTTGACAGGAAGAAATCAAAGACACTCTAAATAATGAATATGAATAGATATGTATTTATATATCATGGATTAAAAGTCTTAAGACATTAAAAATGTCATTTCTTCACAAATTGATATACTGCACAAATTTAATGCAATTACTGTTAAAATCCTACCAAGATTTTTTTGTATATATAGATAAGATAGTCTAAAATTTATTTACAAATGTGAAAGTGCTGGAATAGCCGAAAATTTTTGCCAAAGAAGAAGAAAGTGAGCAGAACAATTCTACTGGATATTAAGATTGACTATGTAACTATAGCTACCAAGACAGCGGCATTGAGGAAAGGGTGGACACAGATACGCCCATCAATGGAACAGAGTAGGGAACCCACTAACACTCAGATGATTTTGACAAAAACACTCAGTTTATTTTGACAGAAGTGGAAGAGTAAATCAATGGTGGCCTTTCAACAAATGGTACTGTAGCAATTGAATAATTACAGGCTGAAAAATCTTGACATGAGTATCATATTTTATACAAAATTAACTCAAAATGAAGAATAAACTTGAACATAAAATGTAAAACTATGAGACTTCAAAGAAACACATAGAAGAACATCTTTGACATTTAAGCCCAGAGTGCTTTGACTTTGCATAAAAAGTATACTACAAAGAAAAAATTGATTAACTGGACTTCATCCATGTTAAAATGTTTGTGTAGTGAAAACTCATGTTGAGAGCACTAAAAGACAAGTTATAGACTGAGAGGAAATATTTGTGACACACAAATGCAACAGAGTTAGTGCATAAACTAAACAAGCCTAAAAATTCAACAGTCAAAAAAATCAAACAGTTCACACATAAAATAGAGAAGTCATGACATTGTACACAATAGAATATAAGGATAGCGAATCAGCACATGAAAAGGTACTTACGGTCATTAGAGAAATGTAGATTGAAGCCACAATGGGATATTACTGCATGCCTATTATAATCAGGACATAGAGGCTGAGCCTGTAGATGCCCAATGTGTAACTAAAAGCAGGATAAAGCTTGTAATTTCTGCCTTCATTTTATGTCATTTTCCTTTATTACCTTAAACTCTGGGTCAGATCCTGCACATAGGAACAATAATCACTCAAAAGTAAAGTCTGTCTAAAAACAAGTAATATTGGGTTCATTAGTCCTAAATTGA